TTCTAAGACGGCGGGCATCCGAGAAGATTTATCTTCAGGCAGGTTATGAACGGCACACACACAAAGCGACCCCTCTTCCGCCAATGGGCTGGAGGGGTAAGAAAAGCTATGACCTCAGAGCCGTTATTCAGAACAGGGACACACATCCGGATAGTCTTTTTTTGGGCAGAAGGTTCCAAGATAATCTCCCGCTCTTCTGCGGGATGGACAGGGGGAAGACGGCTCACTGAGGTGGAGGGATATGAGGAGTGGAGATTCGCTTAAAGGGCGCTAAAGCAGTGTTGGGCATTACGCGGAACCTGGCGCCACCGATTCTCCGGGCTGAGGCTGTGCTTGGTCGTTATGCCGCTTGCGATTGGCTGACTGTGTCCTCCCAAGCCCCCCTCTAGAACGAACGGAGACTGGTCGTCAGGCACCACTGGAACAGAGCAGTTGGCCAACGTTTGGATTTGGATCTCGGGCAAGAACCAGCCACACTGCACCTGCGTAATCCCTCCGTCCGCACCGCAACGTCACCTTTGGTGCGCGCTCTTTCCAGTCTCTCACTCAGCAAGCAACAAGCCGGACGGAAGAAAAAAAAAATCTAGAGAAGCAAACATTTTGCTCTTTCATCACCAGCGCGTATCCACGAATTTTCCAAAGCTTGCTTGCGCAAACCATCAACAGATACCGGCATTCCCTCCATTGAGAACTGCCCAGCATGGTGAGACGCTTCATGCCCCGCGCGCGCGCACCGCTCCGATTCGGCTGCAGCGACTCCAAAAATCCACAACCAACGACCACGAGAAGGAAAGAGGACTGACTGTTTGCGCTTTCAATATTTCTAGGGTATCTCACGACGTCCCAAGGACAAATCCGCAAAGACTGGCCCCGCCGGACCGTCCGGAGGGGCTGGCGGCGGCAAGCCCAAGAAGGCCACATACGAGGTCACGAAGAAGAAGGAGATTGGCGTTTCGGATCTTACGTTGCTCAGTAAGGTGTCCAACGAAGCCATCAACGAAAATCTCAAGAAGCGATTCGAGGGCCAGGAGATCTATACCTACATCGGCCATGTGTTGGTGTCAGTCAATCCCTTCCGGGACCTAGGTATCTACACCGACCAGGTACTCGACAGCTATAAGGGAAAGAACCGTCTCGAGATGCCCCCACACGTGTTCGCTATTGCCGAATCTGCGTACTACAACATGAAGGCGTATCAAGACAACCAGTGTGTCATCATTTCCGGAGAGTCAGGTGCTGGCAAGACGGAAGCCGCCAAGCGCATCATGCAGTATATCGCCAACGTTTCAGGAGGAGAGTCGGGCGACATCAAGCAGATCAAGGACATGGTGCTGGCAACCAACCCCCTACTGGAGTCTTTCGGCAACGCAAAGACCTTGAGGAATAACAACTCGTCTCGTTTCGGCAAGTATCTGCAGATTCACTTCAATGCGCAGGGCGAACCCGTCGGTGCCGACATTACCAACTACCTTCTCGAGAAGTCGAGAGTCGTCGGCCAGATTACCAACGAGCGAAACTTCCACATTTTCTACCAGTTCACCAAGGGAGCTTCCCAAAACTACCGACAGCAGTTCGGCATCCAGACACCCGAGACGTACGTCTATACTAGCAGATCGAAGTGCCTTGAGGTTGACGGAATCGACGATTTGGCCGAGTTCAACGATACGCTCGAGGCTATGAGAATTATTGGTCTCAGCCAAGGCGAACAAGATGAGATCTTCCGCATGCTGTCTGCTATTCTGTGGGCTGGCAACATTCAGTTCCACGAAGGCCAGGACGGATACGCCGCTGTTAGCGACCAGTCGGTAGTGGACTTCCTGGCATACCTGTTGGAGGTGACGCCCGAGCAGCTCATCAAGGCTATCACCATTCGCATTCTCACTCCGCGAAACGGCGAGGTCATCGAGTCACCGACGAACCCAGCCCAGGCAGCCGCCACACGTGACGCCCTTTCCAAGGCCATCTACAGCAACTTGTTCGACTGGATCGTCGAGCGTGTCAACAAGTCCCTCAAAGCGAAGCAGGCCACGAGCAACAATATCGGTATTCTCGATATCTACGGCTTCGAGATTTTCGAGAAGAACAGTTTCGAGCAGCTTTGCATCAACTACGTCAACGAAAAGCTGCAACAGATCTTCATTCAGTTGACGCTGAAGGCAGAACAGGACGAGTACGCACGCGAACAGATTCAGTGGACACCTATTAAGTACTTTGACAACAAGATTGTGTGTGACCTCATCGAGGGTATTCGGCCTCCTGGTGTTCTTTCCGCCATGAAGGATGCTACCAAGACAGCGCATGCTGATCCTGCTGCATCTGACCGAACCTTCATGCAGAGCATCAACGGCATGTCCAACCCTCATTTGACCCCTCGTCAAGGCAGCTTCATCATCAAGCACTACGCTGGTGATGTTGCTTACACGGTGGACGGAATTACGGATAAGAATAAGGATTTGCTCCTGAAGGGACTGCTCAACCTCTTCTCTGGTAGCAGCAACCGCTTCGTCCACACCATCTTCCCCAACCAAGTCGATCAGGACAACCGCAAGCAACCTCCTTCCGCCGGTGACCGTATTAGGGCCTCCGCGAATGCGCTTGTTGAAACTCTCATGAAGTGCCAGCCTTCTTATATCCGAACCATCAAGCCCAACGAGAACAAGTCCCCCTCAGAGTACAACGTCCCCAACGTCCTTCATCAAGTCAAGTACCTTGGTCTTCAGGAGAACGTTCGCATTCGTCGTGCTGGATTTGCCTACCGCCAGACGTTCGAGAAGTTTGTGGATCGTTTCTTCTTGCTTTCTCCTGCAACTTCATACGCTGGCGAGTACACCTGGCAAGGATCGTACCAGGACGCCGCCAAGCAGATTCTCAAGGATACGAGCATTCCTAAGGAAGAATGGCAAATGGGAACGACAAAGGCCTTTATCAAGTCACCCGAGACCCTGTTTGCGCTTGAGCACATGCGAGACCGGTACTGGCACAACATGGCCACTCGTATTCAACGCATGTGGCGCGCGTACTTGGCCTACAGAGCTGAGTCTGCTACTCGTATCCAGCGTTTCTGGCGTAAGAAGAGAACCGGCGCCGAGTACCTGCAATTGCGCGACCAGGGCCACAGGGTTCTCCAGAACCGCAAGGAGAGAAGGAGATTCAGTTTGCTCGGCTCCCGAAGATTCTTGGGTGATTATATGGGAATCAACGCTTCGATGGGACCTGGCTCGCAGATTCGAAACGCGATCGGCATCTCCAACAACGAGAAGGTTGTCTTCTCTTGCCGCGGAGAGATCCTGGAAGCCAAGTTTGGCCGATCCAGTAAGCCGAGTCCCCGTATTCTGATCGTCACCAGCAGCAAGTTCTACATTGTTGCTCAGATGCTTGTCAACGGCCAGCCTCAAATCTCTGTTGAACGCTCCATGCCTCTTGGTGCCATCAAGTTCATTGGAGCTTCCTCAGCTCGTGACGACTGGTTCTCTCTGGGTGTGGGATCGCCTCAGGAGGCTGATCCTTTGTTGAACTGTGTCTTGAAGACGGAAATGTTCACGCAGATGCAGCGTGTCATGCCTGGTGGCTTTAACCTCAAGATTGGCGAAGTGATTGAGTATGCAAAGAAGCCCGGCAAGATGCAGACGGTCAAGGTCCTCAAAGACTCTCAGCAGGCCGTGGATTTCTACAAGAGCGGAGGTGTCCACACTCAACCGGGCGAGTCTCCATCGTCTGTCTCCAAGCCGACACCCAAGGGCAAGCCTGTTGCTGCTCGCCCCATTACCCGTGGCAAGCTCATCAAGCCTGGTGGCCCCAACGGTAGGCCCTCTCGGCTGACAAACACGAACCGGACTCCTCAACCTCGACCTGCTGCTTCTTCTGCAAGATCGGTTCCTCAACCTCCTGCTGTCATCAGCTCAGCCAAGACTGGACCGTTTGGACGCCAACAACCACAAGCCGCCGCCGCTACTACTTCAATTCCCTCACATACCAGACAGCAATCATCAACTTCCGCAGCGACGAGAATGCCTCCTCCTCCGCCCCCCGCTGCGCCCCCCGCCAAGGCCAAGATCATGGCCAAGGTCCTGTACGACTTTGCCGGTCAGAAGGAGAATGAGTTGACGGTCAGAGCCGGTGACATGATCGAGGTCGTCCAGAAGGAGAACAACGGTAAGCAACCATTCCATCTGAAACCCGTCGAGAAATTAAATACTAACATTTGGTAATAGGTTGGTGGCTTGCAAAGAACGGCGGCGCTCAAGCCTGGGTTCCTGCCGCCTACGTCGAGGAGCAGGCTCCCGCGCCCGTCGTGGCTCCTCGCCCGCCTCCTCCTCCTCCTTCGGCTAATGGAGCGGCCGCCCGTGGCAAGCCGACTCCTCCTCAGCCGCCCATGAAGCGACCTGCTGCTGGACGCAAGCCGGCCGTTGCTCAGCCACGCGACTCGGGCTTGAGTCTCAACGGAGCTAGCGGCTCCGACAACAGCCGCAGCAACACCCCAACTCCCAGCTTGGGCAACAGCTTGGCGGATGCTCTGCTCGCTCGCAAGAATGCGATGCAGAAGAAGGACGACGACGACGATTGGTAATCGAATTTTCGTGTGGAAGGGTCAGGGATGAGGTTGGGTCGATAGATCTGGACCCTTGGAATGATGCTTCATGATTGCACGACACGATTGCTCTTTGGACTGATGGTGGAGGAAGGATGGCGGATTGCTTTCTAGAGTGGCAAGCGGTTCACGATCAACAAAGCTGTTTTGAAGTTCTTTCAGCATACAGGATCAGGGCAACCCCGGATGGAAAGGCGGATTTGATCCTGTCTTGTGTGCGCATTTTTCTGTTTGGTAGATTCGGGAGTCAAGGGGATTCATGGCCAGCGCAGAAGCCGTCTTTGGATGCCCCCTCTTTGTCGGTTTTAGGGCGATTGAAGGTAGTATAGAACCGTGGGCAATAGTCCCCCAAAAAGAGAAAATTTCTGTTTACTTTTTTTTCTTCTTCTTGTCTATGCCTGGCTAGAGACAATCACTCCTCTCCGTCTTTTTGGAGGACTTTCCTGCGACGTACTAGCTCCGCTAGAGGAACGTCTTCGTCGTCAGTCATATCCTCATCCTCGTCTACGCCGAAATCCTGTAACCGTTCGCCGTCCGCATTCGTCCAACCAGGCTCTCCATCCGCGCCCTCTTCATAGCCATCTTCAGAGTCGCTATCAATCATATCGTAGCCCTCCACCTCCTCCAACTCTTCCATCATTCGGGAGCGGTTACTCTGCCACCGCCGCCGATCCGCATCTTGCCGCGTCCTGAAGGCCTCGAGTTCCTCTTCCTTGCTCCCGTACCTCGGCACCACCATGTCCTCGGGGTCCCGAGCCGAGGGCCAGCCCCCCTGCGCGGCGCGGCGCACTTTATCCGGGTCCGGCGGCGGCCACATCCCCTCCTTGCGATTCAGCCCGTTCTCGGGCCACTCCCATCCGACGCCATGGCCGTCCTTGCTTATGTGCGGGTTGCCCGCAAAGGGAAATAGCCACAGCAGTGGGTTCTTGGTACCCATGGCCTGCGACAAATTCGCATAAATCCCCACGTCATACGGAAATTCAACTTTTTCCAGCCGGAGCTTCTTCCCATCGGGCCCCGTCATGGACCAGAACTCGCCGGCGTCCTTGCGGTTGCGGTCGCAGACGGCGGCGTGGCGGTCGACTTCCCAGCCTTCGATCATGGTCTCGTTGAGGACCCAGCCGCGGACGGTAGAGAAGAAGAGGATGCCGAGGGCGAGGGAGCTGAAGAAGCAGATTAAGGTGTCGAGAGTCAGGAGGACGAGGACGGGGAGGGAGGGGCCGAGGTAGGAAGGGAGGAGGCGGTTGTCCCAGATGGCGGCGAAGCGGGCGTAGAGGAGGCTGGCGAGGTACCAGAGGGAGAAGTTTGTCCAGGCGAGGAAGCGGAGGAAGTGTGGGAATGTCGTGAGGGAGACGCAGTTTCCTGTCCAGGGGCAGTGGTGGTCCATGCCTAGCGGAAAGATTTCGTTTGTTAGCATATTGCGTTGTGCTTGAGTGAGAGAAGAAGGGGGAAAGGGGGGGGGGGGGGGTATGGGGAGCACCAGGACGAGTAAAGGGGATTGTTGTCGACTTACGAGGGACGCAGCGCGCGCAGTGCCGGCAGTGGTGCGCGCGAGGCGGTTTGGGCGCGGCGCATTTCTTGCACCAGCGTCTTACGAGACCGTACTCGTCCGGCTCGGGCACCTCGACGACGGCGGCGTCGGGAAAGGGGTAGCGGCCCGGGTCGACGGTGCAGGACTTGTAGTATGTGTACCATAGGCAGGCGAGGAGGGTGTTGAAGGTGTATGTCTCGGAACGGGTGAGTCGCCCGGGTGCGAGGGAGTCGTCGGCGACGTAGAAGAGGATCTGGGAGGAGACGGAGAGGAAGCCCATTAGCGCGCAGGAGCCGGGGACGGCGAGGCGTTTGATGAGGGGGGCTTCGTTGATGCCGGCCATTGTTGCGCCATTTGGGGGGGAGTTATTGTCGTTACTTCAAGAGCTAAGGAGGAGAGTTGCTAGAGGTTTCGCTAAGTAGGCGGATTTGTTCGGCAGTCGACGTCGCGGAATTCGAGATTTCGGCGAAAGATGGTGGCGTGGGATGTCAGCACATGTCGGTGCCGGGACGGACGGAGGAGTGCTGGGATCGGCGGCGGAGCGGTCGGGATTGAAGTGGAGGGTGGGAGCTTGACGCGGTTCAAGGGGCTAGGGGTACGGGCGAGGAAGGACGCGTCTTTTGCCCTGTTAGGGGCGGGCAGTTTAATTGGATTATGTAAGGATTCGACAACTTGGCAACCCCTGTGAAGGAAACGACGACGACTGCCTGCCGGTACGCTTTGTCCATCAATTCCTCAAACGACGGTGAGAAATGTACTGAAATTCCCCTGATCGGTTGAATTGAAGAAGATTTTCTTGGTTCTCATTGAACGCATGATTTCACTTGTGGCTGCGTTGTGAAGCGAAACGACCACCCAGACTTGGGCTGGTGAAAGTCTCCCTCAATGGCACGCGATGCGCAGATACATCTGACGGCGTTGTGGTAAGAGGATCCTAATTTCTTCCCAATGCTACTCAATTTGAATTCTGACATATTCACAGTGTTGTTGGTTCTTTTCTCTGGATATCTTCCAACGTTGAGGGTCATTCTCTGATCGGTACGGGCCGGTCTGCCAAGACTTTTAATCATCCCCGTTCACCACGTGGGAAACGGGAAGAAGCTTCTCCCGCTGACGCAATTGTGTTCCAGAGTATCCACGTCTCTCCTCCGTTCTAATACTCCTGCTATCGGGAGGTCTGACATGGCTGGCGAGCTATCTCGCCCCATGGCTCCCCGGTGTGGACGGAAGATTCGGTATGTTCCGTCGTATGCCTCGTGAGAGAATCTCCCGTATCCGGTGCTAAACATCACTTTTCAGATGAGCGCGCGGGCTCCAAGAGCACCTTTGAGCAGACGATCCCCGCCAGGCCGCGACGGTACTTTGCCCCGTTGCTCATCTTTTGCATCTTCCTCCGTCTCGAGGTCTTTCATCGCGTTACCGCCCAGCTGCAGTGCTCTGTGCCGGGAGTGCAGGTGAGTCGCGGATATACCTCCATCATCAGTTGAACGACGAGACTGATCACGGCACAACAGTCGTTCTTGTGTATTTACCTGGTTCTTTACCATATCCTCTACTATCAAAGAGCCCGACCTCCGCCTCCTGAGGAAGACCCTTGGGCAAGTATCAGCGACGACATTGCAGTATGGGCAAACGGCTCCCGAACGCTGGCGCTTGGAAGCGCCTGCCTATTCAGCTATGGCACTTTTGTCGCCATCTCGCAAGATCCTAGGTCAACATTCTTTTGTTCCGCTCTATCGGACAGCCGGATGACCACTCTTGCTTTCCAGCTACTCGGACTGTTCTTAGACGCGGTCATTGTCTCCCTGTTTTGGCGTATCCTGGCTTGGACAAAGACGACGAAGCTCCGTTTGAGGACTCTCGGCACCATTCTGGCCCTCTCGGGAGTCTTTGTCAAGGTCTTCCAGATCCTCATCTCACCCCTCGTTTCCGCTAGTGAGGGATACCCGACTTCCTTCAGTGGGATCGACTCTCTATACATCTTTGACATCTTCATCGATAGCTTCGCTTTTGCGGTTCTCGTCACCTCCCTGAGCATCCTTGTCTATGAGACAAATCCCGTAACCCCTACTAGTATCATCACCTTCATTTGCGGCCTCACGGCCGCCACCCAAAACATCATGCACATTGGGAAATGGCAAATGGAATCCAGGCTAAGCGCCATCGGGCCTCTGTACCTCCTGGTGCTCGGTTACAGCATGTTTCTGTACAGTACCAATGTCCGCTCGCTCCTCTTCATCCCCAGGGCGCTTATCCTCGTGCTCATGGTCTCCATGTTCGTTGGCATGACCATCTACGGGCTTCTTAAGTCGGCAACAGTCAAACAACACCCGTTGAATAGACTCATCTACGATGTCCGGGTGGAATCCGATCGATGGATGCGCCATGCCATGACCAGCGACAACCTGAACGTCGCCGTCGACGTCTACCACGAGCGGCATTACGGGAGAGACCCGCCTCCCAACTTTGACAAATGGTACGAATTCGCAAAGGCTCGAAAGTCTGTCATCATCGACCACTTTGAGCAGATGGAGAGCGATATCCTGCCCTTCTGGGGCGTTAAGCCAGAGGCGATCCGGCAAGCCTACAGTGAGAGGGTACCTAGAGAGCCTCATATCGCCATGGTTACGATCGAGAACAAACAGGTTACCCACAACTACGAGGGCATTGACGCAAACAAGAAGGTCCTGGACGAGCTCGTGGCCATGATCGGGGGCTTTGTCGAGCATCTGTCCGACATGAAGTTGCCCATTAACTTGAGCAACCAGCCCCGGGTCCTAACACCGTGGTCAGAGCTCAATAGGTACACCATCACGGGAATGAAGCAGAAGTTCAAGCTTCTATCGTCGCGCTCGATTGAGGATGCTTCCGCTGGAGGTTCTGGTGGAAACCCATCCTCTGAAGGCAACGTTGAGAGGAACGCAGAGTTGAAGGCCGTGGGAGGCTCACCGGCGATTCCTCAGTCCAAGCAGGCGATGTACGAATCGACCAAAGCATGGCGAGACATGGAAGCCTCCGTGTGCCCGACCAACACCCCGGGGAGGTCAGGGCTTCACTGGAATGTTCGCGACTTCTGCACCTCGTGCGTAAAGTGGCACGAAGACGAGCAGTTCATGTGGAATTATCCGCAGTCCAAGAGCCTCTGCGACCAGCAAGACCTCACCCGTCTGCACAGCTTCCACACGTCGGCGCCCCCGATCAAGCCGTTGCAGGAGCTGCTGCCCATCTTTGGCCGGTTCAAAGCCGACGGCTTCAACGACATCCTTTTACCGCTGATGCCTCTGGCGGAAGACGAGCCGGAACACAAAAAAGACTTTCGGCAGCGCAAGGACAGCGTGTACTGGCGAGGCAAGATTGGCGAGAAGCCCATCAGCGACGAGGCGCTACGCGGGAACCACAAGCACCGGCTCGTGCACCTCATCAATAACGCGACGGCCGCGGAGGACGTCACGATGATGCTCGGCGCGCCGTCCAAGGGCAGCTGGTACGCGTACGAGATTGTCCGCGCCCTGGAGGCCAACGCCATACTCCCGTTCGATATCGGCATAGCAGAGTACGCCTGCGGTGACGTCGCGCCAGGCTGCGCGGCGGCCAAGGCGGAGCTGGGCCAGAAGCCCGTCGCCGCCTCCGGGCAAGAGGACCCCCTGGACCACCGCTACGTCATGCTGCTGGACGAGGACACGGCCCCGCCGCCGCAGATGCTCCGGACGCTTCGGTCGCCGGGCAGCGTGCCGCTCATGTCTTCGGTATTTGGGGAGTGGTACTCGGAGCGGCTGATTCCGTGGCTGCACTTTGTGCCCGTGGACACGCGGTTCCACGCCCTCCACAGCACGGTGGCGTACTTTGTCGGGCTCAAGGGCCGCGGCAAGCTCAACGGGCGGGAGGTGGACTTTGAGGCGCGGTGGGAGGACGCCGAGTGGATCGCGACGCAGGGGGCGCGGTGGGTGGACAAGGCTCTGCGTAGGGAGGACATGGAGATTTACCTGTTTCGGTTGCTCCTGGAATGGGGACGGGTGGTGAGGGATGATCGGGACAGTATCGGGTTCAAGGTGCAAAAGTCATGATTGTTTGTTGTATGTTTATTCATGTATGCTGTTGGGAGTTTTTCTTTCCGTGTGTTTTCATTGATGGATATGGGAAAGGGGTTATTCACACGACTATTACCACTCACCCACTGTTCATGTGTTCATCCGTTCGATGGTCGGTCTTGAATCGTGTTGATCCTTTGGTGGCCCGAACCGGGAACGAGATACCTAGCATTCTCGGCTGGACGGTCAGCAAGGCAATATGCACCCGAAGCTTAGAAACCCAATTCATCGGGGCGCATTTGGTTGGGAACCCTTGATACGGTGATATCCTTACCTCTCCCTCCTTCTCCATCTCCACAGAAACCAAACGGGAGCTCCAATCATCCACTTTTTGCTTCGTGCAAGTTTCTCTGGGCCCCCTGACGCGTTTCGGCCGAGAAGAACCTTGTGTCTCCAAATTATCTTGTTATCGAGGATATACAGAATAGGATCTCGTGTTATACTCTCAAAAGTAAGTCTGCTCTGCTTAAGCAAGATGCCTGCTGTGCATTTTGGGGTATTTGGCTTTCAAGAGATGGTTGGAGCTCGAACTGGCACACGCACACCACTTGAACCCACGCTTTTTGGGGTCAAAAAGAGAGATAGTTTTCGGCTACGACCCGAGTGGGCTGCCTCTATCACGATCTCTATAAGTCATACAAAAATCAGTGCAAGTTTTGTTTTGTCGCTGCTTGCCGAGGCTTTGGCAAAACAGGGGGGGTGGTCGAGGGGAGCTTGGTTGAGGATGAAGCTCGTTTCAGAATGACAGGCGGGACAAAATGGGGGTGTGGTGGCCTCGCGACCAAGAGCTCAAGAGTGAAAGATGAGAGAAAGAAATAGGGATAAAGGGGGCAAAATTTGACCCCTTGCTCGGATTCACAAACAAAAAGGAGCTCCAGAGGTGCCGCAGCTTGGGGAGATCCCTCGTTTGTGACTGGTCGCAGCTTTTTCCTTCGCAGGAACACCTTCATCATTCATGCCAGCAGAAGCAGTGAAGCGGTACACCGTACACATTACTACGTAGAGAGGGAAGAGCTCCTGTGTGACGATGACAAGTGGGGAAGACGTGACGGAATGGGCAACAATTGCCTTGCTCCCAGGTCCCCTCCAGCACGGGGCACCCTTTCACGCCTTACAACACGCTAGACAGGGCTGCCCCTCCCCCTCCCCCTCACCCAGCTCCGGGTTGGCCCCCCCTCCCCTCTCTCTCACAGGTTCCCCCCTCAGACGCAGACAACGCAGACATCCCAACGCAGCAAGCTGACCGACCTTCCCCCTCCCCCTCCTCTTCCGCGACCTAGAGTGCTAGCTGAGGTATGTGACTTACCTATGTAAGCATCGTAAGGTACTTTTCCGTGCCTGACTAACATTGCCTAGAGACACAGACCCCCCGTTGACGTTTGCTTACACACGACTTTTTTGTGAATCTGCTGGGACCTTGTCACTTGCTTTGCTACCTGTGGCAGCCGGCATCCACCCGTTGCCATTGTATCCGATTGTTGCTTGTTGCATTGTACCCAACTTCCACCAACGCCCGAACCGTTCTTCCCGATTACAACCTCTTCTCCTCCATCTCGGATCGACTCTTTTGCATATTTACAACCCTCACACCAAACCCGTTGCTCCAGAGCCGCTCCCCCCCGCATCTCTCATAGTCTTCATTCAACAAACGCCTCGAATCCTACCCCGCGCGAACACACCTCACCTCAGAAGAAGCATCGTTCCATACACACAGCTGCGCCTCTCCCGTCTCTCTACATCCTCACGCCAGCCCACCTACCTCAAACCTCCATATCCTCCGCGACACAGCAGCAAACATGGTCGACCGGCCCAACAAGCCCACCGCCCTGGCCACCACGCCCGGCCTCCCGCCCCAGGCCACCGTCGACATCACCCACAACAACACCCGCGTCTCCGCCACCCTCCCCACCGGCGAGTCCGTCGAGGTCCTCCTCCACGGTGCCACCGTCCTCTCGTGGAAATCCGCCGCCGGCGCAGACCGCCTCTGGCTCTCCGAGTCCACCGTCTTTGACGGCTCCAAGCCCGTCCGCGGCGGCATCCCCCTCGTCTTCCCCGTCTTCGGCCCCCCCTCCGACGCCCACCCGCCCACCGCCAAGCTGAGCCAGCACGGCTTCGCGCGCAGCTCGCGCTGGGAGTTCCTCGGCAAGTCCACCAGCGAGGGGTCCGCCGGCTCAGAGTCCTCCGTCAAGCTCGACTTTGGCCTGTCCTCGGCCAACCTCGACGCCGAGACCCAGGCCAAATGGGGTTACAAGTTTGGCGCCATCTACAGCGTGTCGCTCGACCGCGAGACACTGTCGACGTCGCTAGTCATTACGAATGAGGGCGAGGAGGCCTTTGATTGCCAGGTCCTGATGCACACCTACCTACGTGTCAACGTACGTTCCACCCCTTCCTTATACCAAGCTTCCATCCCCCCAAGCCCACAAACTAACAGCAACTTGCCCAAAACGAACAGGACATCACAAAGATCTCAGTGCAAGGCCTTGATGGCGCCTCCTACACCGACAAAGTCCACAACGGCGCCTCAAAGACCCAGTCCGGCGACATCACCATCACCCAAGAGACGGACCGCATCTACACGCCCACAGGCGGCCCCAGGGCCCCCGTCACCGTCCTCGACGGCGGCAAGCCCCTATTCTCCGTCGTCCGCGACAACCTCGACAACGTCGTCGTCTGGAACCCCTGGGTCGACAAGGCGCAAGGGATCGCCGACTTTGCCCCCAAGGACGGCTACAAGAACATGCTGTGCGTGGAGCCCGGCGCCGTCAAGGAGTGGCAGAAGCTCGAACCCGGCGACGCGTTTGAGGGCGCCCAGGTCATTACGGCGAGCTCGAACTGATGCCAGGGGATGATGACGATGGGGCGGGGGCGGGGGCGGGCGATGGAGAGCGGAAAGCTGTGAGAATGAAAGAGAGAGGGAGGTAGGGTTTCAAGTCACGTCGACCAGGTGGGGGTGCGAAAGGCAATGAGAAAGAGAGGGGGGCAGGGGTTAAAGCAATAACTGGGAAAAGAATCTCGGGGACAAACTCAACCAGAGGAAGAAATCCGAGCTAGAAGGGATATTTTAGACGGCCAGACGTGGAGAGGGTGAAGGCCGAAAGTTATCATGAACAAGCAGGCGTGCGCGTTAAGGGAAAGCAGGCCCGGAAACTACCCCTTTTGAATACATCACGATTGATGCGGCAAAACACATGTATACTTGACACACACACACATACGACCTTGGATCAAACGTGCAAAGGGTTACTCATCAGTATGCTGTGACAGCTCATCATTATCTCTTTTGCTTCCTTTTTTTCCACTTTCATTATCCTGGGCGGCGATGAACCTCCAGATGCGTTTGCAACAATCTAATACATGATAAAGTCGAGGATGGTGTGTCCCCCCTTTCCTCCCCTTCTCGTTTCCGTGCCCCCTTCCACAACTTCATTCCAGTTTCATGCCATGAATTTTTCCGTATACCCAGTTTCCATACAAGAACGAGTTAACAAAAAAAAAAACCAAGTTATGTTTTTTTTCTTTCCTTCTTCTGCTTCTTCGTCTTCAACTCATAAACCAAAGATCTACGCCAACAATGCATGGCGGGTGTTGCTGACACCCCTCGTCGTCGTGAATGTACATATATGTGTGGCGTGGCGGAGTAGTATTGACAGTGTCCTCGCGAAGCCAGTAAGCAAGAAACAAAAGGGAAATGATGACAAGCGGTAGCGGGTCGTTTTCGGATGATTGCATTCCGCGTCAATGTCAGTAGTGGTAGCAGAACTCTGATCAAGCTCGCCCACGGGCCTCGGCAGCGAAGAGCTCTCTCTTGATGTCCATGAGCATGTCCTCCATCTTGTACACCTCGTCCCGTGACAGTGCTGCGGAACGAAGACTGGCAAGAACGCTACTCAGATTATCAATCATGTTGATATCCTTGGCGGCTTCTTCGACAGGACCTTCACCGACGGTGGTGATATCAGCGATATCGACGTCCATAGAGTCTTCTGCCGTCTCGTATGTCATGGTCGTCGTTTGCTCCGGCTCCGGCTCCTCGAACGATTGACTCGCTCGGAAGTGCGCCTCCTCCTGCTCATTAACCAGTTGTGAGTTGACTTCGGCATCCAAATCTACGGAGCGTTTCGAAGGACTATCGTTGACATTGATGCGTTGGCTGCGACGACGGCGGGGAGTTTCTTCCCCAAGCACCGGGGACATGGTGATCTGGGACGACTCGACAATTTCTGAGGGGTCAGTAGACTTCCTCTTCTTGTGGCGGGTATCGATGTTGGAAGCACCACCCCTCTTCCGCTTCCTAGCCGACTTGCCCGGGGATGAAGCGGCCGACCGAGTTACAGGAGTTGAGGGTCCTCCGGGCGAATGGGACTTGCTCTTGCGGGCTCTTGTCTCGACCTGTGAGAGAGCAAGCTCCGCTGGCTCGTCTTCTTCTTCTTCTTCGTCGTCCTCCTCCTCTTCGTCATCTTCACCACGGACTGTGATGCAGTCAAGCACTGGAGGCTTCTCTTTCTTGGCGCTTCTGGGACCCTTATTAGATTTTGGAGGGGAAATGGCAGGGTAATCGTTAATCGGGAGTTCGCACCGCCTACGGTCGAGCTCGACGACAAGCCTCAACATGCTGTTTTCGTCTCCGTCGCTCATCTCAAAGGAGCGGTCCTTGATGGCAGCTGCGCGCGAGGCGGACCTGGTAAGTACTGTGGGCTGCGGGCTTGAGGGCGCGTCGACAAAGACTTCCTGACCGGATCTGGGCTCCTCTACGCCAGTCACTCGGTTGTTCTTGGGGGTCGATGGTGCAGGGTCAGGAACAGTTTCTGCGGACGATTTCGCGATATTATGCTGAGATTGCTCGGGCTGCAGTGTCTCCTTTGCGGTCTCGAAGGCAGGCGGTGGGAGCTCCGGTTCCTCCACGGCACTTGAGGGGACCATCTGGAACGAGTCATCTACTGCTGACAGATCCGGGCTACCTACGCCGGGAACATGTTGGGAGGTTGCGCTGTCGGCCAAGTTGAGTTCAGTAGGCTCATCGGTCATGACGACGGCATCGGGAGATGGAGAACCGGATACAGGTGAGGAACTAAATTGCCAGTTCTCTAGCTCGCTGCGACTGCTAGATCGCGACTTGATCTGAGGTAGCAGGGGGAAAGGCCGGGGCTCCAGAGGTGAAGAAGGAGGATCCGTCATCTCCTGATCATTATCTGCCATAGGCATCGTCTGACCTCGGCGAGGTGTCGGGGTTGAGCTGACAAACTCCTCGTACCTAGCGTTGCGCTTAGGTGTGACATCCTTGGGGGTCTCCTCGACGACCATCTCAGGGGCGGTCGACTTCTCCTCAGTGACCTGTGGTTGTTGCTGCTGAGGGCTTGACCGCATTTCTGGGTAAAGGGCCGCCGCATCCTTCTGCCTCTCCCTGATTTCTTTCTGGCGTTCGGTGAGAACTTGAGACTCGGCGTTGACTGCTGGATTCAAAGGAGACTTCTCAATGGGTGCGAACTGAATCTGGGAGTCGTCATGTCTCAACCGCGCCTTGGCTGCAGCGCTACGCCGGGGCCTACCACGACCCTTCTTAGGAGTAGTGTCGTCCAGTTGCTTCTTCGCAGAGAGCGACAGCTTGACAGAGCTGAGAGGCGATGATTGGCTGGGTGTAGTCGGTTTCTGAGCTCTCTTTCGAGACGAACGTGTGGAGGGTACCGTGAGCATCTCAATATCGTCCTGCGATTCGACGAACGAGCGATTCTGGTCGGTGGACGCCACACTAGCGATCTCCAAGCCTGGAAGAACGAGGGTTACAACCGGTTGGATGGCCAGTAAGACGGCCTTGAGATGTTCAGGGTACTGGATTTGTTCCGCATTCTCGTAAATTCGATTCCACACCTCCGCGACAGAGTTCACAATATGGCGGTGTTTGCTTTCGAAGGCAGCGCAAATCAGTTCCTCGAACGTTTCGAGCTGGACTTCTTCGGGTTTGCCGCTAGGCAAAATAATCTTGGAAACGGTCTCCCAGAGATGTTTAACCTGCTGTTGGTCAGTAAAGTGGATTTTTCTTTTAGTAAGTAAGACTCACAGCTTCAGATGCCACAGGGCTCTGTCGGGCCTTCAGAATACCCTGCGAATCCCGGATCCACATGGCAAGCCCACTCTCCAAGTTCGATACAGTTCTGCAAACAAGCTCCGGGTTGCAGCGAGAAAGGAATGAACCGCATGCCCTGAGAAAATGGGTGGCAAGTTCGTCCAGATCTCCACGCTCGCCGGCCTCGTAGAGTCGTTCCATCAGCTCGTTGATCAGTTTGTAAAAGTTATCGAACGGATCAAAGGAGGATGACCTGGGTCCCGCAACTGCTGTACCCCATAATCTACGTCGGGCAGCTTCCAATGCCTGTCTGTCTAATGGGTGGCTAGCAACGTAGAGAAGCTCGGTTGTTGCTAGAAGTGTCTTCGTCGACAGCGCCGAGGCATGATCGGCGGGGATAGACTCCCGGATGACTTTGGCAAGCGGCTCGATAGTGCCTAAAGCGCGGCCAGCTTCACCAGTCTCCTGGTAAGACCGGGCCGACAACTTCGCGAAGAGCGAACACCAGGGTTCCCAGGGTAGATTGGGAGTCTCCTTCCAGCCTCGCTCCAGGAAACGCACCACGGTGCGGTATTCGTGACCGAGCGACGGCTCACTTGTTGAGCTAGTTATTTGCGCGCTGTTTTGGGGTGAGCTGAAAGTCGCCGATAGGCACTCCGCAGCGAAGACCCATGGTGCATAGGGAAGCTGATTGACCGGCGGCGACCAGATTGGAGTGGCCGACAGTATCTCTTGTGCCAGCTCGAACCGAGAGTTTGCCGACTTCTGGACTAAGAAAGGCGCGAAGAATGTCTTGAAGAACTCGACGTACTCCTCCCCGTCGGGGATACCCGGGGGAAGCCGAGAGACCAAGCCGATCAGATGTTGTAGCGGAGTCCGGGCATCACCAACGTTCTTCGCCGGCTTATGGGACGGCGTTGACACAGGTGTGAAGGTATGAAGACGACTAAGAGAGATCATCTTCTCGGTGAAAGGCCGAAGACCCAGGGCCTCTGCAGCGACTATTATGAGCTCACGAGCGCTGTCCAGGAACTTGGTCGCCATCTCAGGAGTCGGATTTTCCATCTCCGTTAAGCCAGTCTCCCAATGCTTTAGCAAAAGCCCGCACACTTGGGAAATGAAGGCCGCGGTGTCGACAGAAACTTTGATCTCTTTGGAGGCGGCCGAGACAACGGCCCCCACCAAAGTGCGCCACAAGCGATGGATTTGGCTGTTCTTGTCCGAGAGCTCGAGGAAGTGTCTATCCATGATAGGTTCCATAGTCTGGAAAACGCGAGCAGCATTGCGTCGGAGCCACTTGGGATCGATAGCTGGCAGCTCGTTCGGCCGGGCAAGAGTCGTCTCTCTAATACGCTCCTCCCTCCAAATCCGAGGTGTTGTCGAGTCAAAAAGACCGGTGAGGATTAGTGTTATCTGCCGCATATGCTCGTCAACGGCGTCGGGGTTCCTTGCTTGCGCTTTTGGTGGCTCTATTAAGGGCTTGACGCAAATGTCCCAGTAGGTGTCGAGAAGAGCATTGTTCGTTCCTGGCTTGAAGGTATAGTAAAGGAGATTGCACACACTGCCGAAAACGACCTCTCGTGTGTGTTTGTTTGTGTACTTTGACTTCAACTGGCTGCCCAGGGGCTGGTAAAGTATGGGGAGAAGCTTGACGAAAGACTGGCCTTCGGTATGCATAGACCAGACGAAACGATTCCACGCGAAGTTCGCCTCCTGCTTAGTTTGGGGGTGGTCGCTATTGTTGAAGCCCATCTGAATGAGCTGCAGCCACTGGTTGAAGAATTGCCATTTGTCAAGAGGACAGCGCAGTAAACCAATTATGACGCTCCAGATCTTGGGGACCGAAGCCGTCAGTTGCCTGTCGTCCTTGTCCTTCGCCATGGTTCGTAGTTGCTGGTGGTAATACTCTGCAAACTTCATCTCTTCAATGGATGTATCAAAGAGCTCCATTACCTTCCGAGACAACGACTTCTCCTTCCCGAATATGTAAACCGCTTCGAGACCAAGAGATATCGCAGCAGATCGCAGTTCTTTGACCCTGCTCAACATGTCCGTGAAAAGGTCGTTCAGCCAATCGGAGTGAAGCACCATCAATTGGCGAGACTGTTGAACCAGGCGTTTATAGATGAGAATTCGGGACATCACAATGCTCTTTCCCTTGAGGTTGTCTTCGATGTTGCGGAGGGCATTCATTAGTCGGCGGACGCGATCCGAGGTCAAGACCTTTGCGGAGAAGTCTTGCGTAGCGACGGCTTGCATTAGATGCCGAGCAACATCTTTCGGTGTTGCAGGATCTTCGAAGGATCGAATGCAGTGATCTATAAAGAAAATGCCGAAATCGCTGGGTATCGTCGAGGCAATGGCGGGGAAATGCAAAAAAGTAGCAAGAAGAGAAAGAGCGTTGTTGACAAGAGGCGCATCTGGTCCTCCGTTGGTGGCATTCTTGGAGGTGATGTCTCGTTGGATGAACTGCACGAAGAGGCCCATCTTAGACTGAAGGGCAATTCGGTCCGGGAGGTTGTTGGACGTCTTCAGGGTCATCACCAGTGTTGTGTAAGCATCTCGCTTCGAGTCCCTGTCTGCTCCAGCGAGCTGCTTCACCGTTGACTCCAACATGTCTGATATGTTTGCTGATGTCGTCAAACTATCTGGCTTGACACTTGAACTCAGGGGACTCGGCGAAGAGGTTTGTTTGAGGATGCCCTTGACGGGTTTGGGCTGAGTCGAGGACGGCGCCGACAAGGGCGATGATCGGGATTTGGCGACAGCTAGACCTGGGTAGTTTGGGGCTTCGTTGTATTGCGCCTGGGCAGAAAAGCCCACACGTTTCCTTGCTCTTCGTCCGCTCGGGTTCGTGGAGTCAGCTCCGGAAAGTGGTGAGTATACACTCGGTGGAGTCTGGAGACTTGATCGAGGGTCTGAGGAGGGAGGGAGGACGAGGAGATGCTTCGAGGTGGTGGCATCGGCAGCCAGGCTGGTCTCGCGAGGTGGTGTCGGTGGGCGAGGGGGTAACGACTCTAGTCGGCTCGAAACAACTTCAACAGATCCCATGGTTGCGAAGAGGTTCCCGTCGAGTGGGAAGGAAAAACCAGAGTCGGGCAAGCTCTGCTCTATGTCGACTGGCGCATAAGTGCGTCGGACTCCAGCCAGGGGAAACGAAGGAAATGACGATGCGTATGCGTAAAACCAAAGGCAATGTACAAATCTCGCTCACTATGCAAATGGAAGAGAGTGACGGGAGGAGGTGGGCTTTCCGGCGGAAACGAAAGTGAGGTATGGAGACAGTCAAAGGAGCGAAGCTGTGTACGTACGAATATGGAGTGTGACTTGGGCCACGGGGTCGGGGTTGTCTGGTCAGATATCCGTACCAAGTTCGCGCAAGTACACGACTTTTTGCACCTCAGCACGACCTTCTCTTCTCGATATAAGGATGGAGCGGGTTGGTTAATTGGCTAGCGCTTGAGGATGCTTAAACACGTCCACGATTTCACGTAAAAAAACGCGAGTTGAGCGCGAAAACCACTTAAACAAGTGGCCCGTGCTTGTCGTGTACCCCAGTCGTTGGCGCTGTCTCGTTGCCCGGGGGTTGGGCCGTCGACCGTCAAAGAGTGGGGCAGCGGAATGGATGGCATCCACTACCTAGGTGCCTGGGTACTAAGCACCTAAGGTAACTGAGGTGGTTGACTGGACCGCGGTCTCCAAATTCGCATTCACCACCTCAGTGCTCTCGCAGGCTTGCAGTTCCTCTCCACAATGTAGGTTCCGCACCACAGCAACATGGAAAGTGCCCCACAGCTCTGGAAGTTGTGCTTACTAAGGTCAGACAGGCACTCCTGCCACAGTTGTGGCTTGCGCACCCCGTACTGCGTAAGTGCACGGTCTGTTCGCTCGCGTCAACTGCCAACTAACTGCCTGGGGGGGCCACCGAGTGCCCCTCTTCTTGTGTAACGACGGTGGAGGAAGGATTGCTGGTGTCTCATGGTCAGTCTTCCATCTGGCTCATTCCCCTTTCTCAGCCAGATACTGCGACATTCCACCACAGCCACATCTTCACTTTAACAAACGACAACACCAACGAATTAACAATATCTCCTACCTTGCACAGCCAACAAGGTCGACCGGGTGTTGGAAAGCTTACATCCCCCATACGAATCGAAGCTCGACAGATTTACATCTTTGTCGTGGATGCACTACCGAACCTAAGGTAGGCCGAAATCGTCGAGGTCGGTCAGACATCAAGCCACTTGAATTCGAGATCGAGTGCCACAATCACATCCGTTGAACCGCATATCCTTTTCTCGCCACTGCAGGAAGTGATCATTTTCCATCTTGTCATCCCCAAAAGGTAATCCAATCCTGTCTTTGCATCTCACATTCCTCTCTGAAGAGTGTGCTGCCCATCATGGCATCCAAGTTGAAGAGAATGCTGAGCGTCAAGGAGCGTAGGGTCTGCCGCAAAACAAGTGCCCCTAGCTTTTCTCGGCCGGGCTCGCCCAAGCTCCGCTCCATTGCCGATCCCGACTACAAGCACAGCTCCGCCCGCCGCACCATGTCACAGCCCCTCGCCATGCAAGCCAACCTCGCCGGCCCTGGTAGGTTATCCGCCCCGGCCAGGCCCATGAACCTGTGTCACTGACTATTCTTCAGCAAAACTTGAGGCTGTCACTGCTCTTATGAAGAAGTTGGAAGACGACCTGAAAAAACCCACCCTGCTCCCACATCGTAAGTTTGATCCACGATGCAATGCTTCTCTCAGTCGTCCAGCTGACATTGTATCTTAGAGCGTGATGCTGCTCTTGAAGAGCTGAAGATCTATGGGCGGGACCCTACCAACGCTGATCCTATCTTTACACCAGAGGTCATCCCATCTGCCTCACACGAGTGCTGTTGATACTAACAGGCTACAGGGTATCGAGATGCTTACAAGGCATGCCTTCTTAAGCCCCTCGAACTCCACGGCAAGGGCAGCTCTGAGGGTTTTGGCCAACACGATGCTATTGAACCCTAAGGCTCGCCAAACATTTGTTGACCTTGGCTACGAGGACCAAGCTTGCAGGAGACTGAAGAACGACAGCTTCGACGATGAATTCCTTGTCTCCAGAGTCTTGTTCCTCACCACCTATGGAACCAAAATCGATCTCCTTGCTCTGATTCAGAAACACAGGTTGGCCGATATCGTGATTGAGAATCTTTCCAAGCACCAAAAGCGCTTGGGAAGTTCCCAGACCCATGTGTCAGCCGATCCTATGGAAGACATGGCGCTCAACGAGACTCTGAAGCTACTTTTCAACGTCTCGCATTTCTGCCCCTCGGAAGTGGGGGCCTTTACAGGCGCCATTCCACACATCATTGCACTACTTTGGAAGCATGATATTCCCTCCAACAAACCGCTCGATCCGCCATTCAATACCCTTGTCAATGCTTTGCTGGATCTCAAGTTGGAGGACAAAGATGTCCAGGGGGCTCTTTATCCCAAGAGCGAACCTGCAAAGGTAGCGGATCGCTTTATTGAGATACTGGACGCGGCTCTGAAGGCATATCCCGATAATGAGCTGGAGCAGCTGGTAACGCCGCTGATAGGTGTCTTGCGGCGTGTGCACGATGGTGCTCCTGACGATGCCAAGAAGGCTATTAGGAAGCAGCTTCTTCCTACCGAGCAGGATAGAAAGGAGGTTCTTGGCCGCGGTACCTCATTGACTTCGCGCTTGTTGCGCAACTCCACCAATCCCCTGACTCCCCATCTTCGGGAGGCCATCTCCCATCTTCTCTTCGACATGTCAGACAAGGATGCTTCAAAGTTTGTTGAGAACGTCGGTTACGGCTTTGCGTCAGGCTTCCTGTTCCAAAACAACATACCCATCCCTACCAGTGCTGCTGAAGCGTTCAGCACGGGTGAGGAACAGCGGCCTGTCAACCCCATTACTGGACAGTTCATAGACAAGGAAAAACACGTTGAACTTCCGGAGATGACAGAAGAAGAGAAGGAGAGAGAGGCAGAAAGACTATACGTCCTGTTTGAAAGGCAAGATGGCACTCACACCACGACTAGAAGACATACTAACAGATCATTAGACTCAAGAAGACAGGTGTTGTTGATATCCAGAACCCTGTGGAGCAGGCGGCGAGGTCGGGGCAACTTCATGATTTTGGAGATAAGCGAGTGGAGGAGCTTGACGATTGAGACGAAGCATAGCATAGGGACAGGTGGAACCATACATGCATCAGGCATTGGCGTATTCATTGAAGGTACCTTAGCTTGACACAACTTTTGATGATTAGGGTCCGCACTGTTTTCGTATCAGTGAAGGTCCAGCTGGCTACGTTTCTACCTTCTGACGTGATTCCTATCCATTCCTGCCTGAGGCTATGGTTCAGATTGTCCTTCATACAAGCAGGCCCGGCATTGTCAAGTTTAGGGCGCCCCGAGAAGTATTTCAGAAGCAAAGCTGCGAGCTGTACTTGATCCCGATGTTCCAGACCTGGGCTGAGAGAGGTGAGCACATCTCAGTTGCTCTCGCCCATTAATTGGACGACAATGAGTACCTTAGTGAACAGGTGCTCGTGCTAAGTATATTTCTACAAAGATCCTTTAGGCTGTTTTCTTTGTTCCTATCCCAGACTTCTTGTTCGCCCTTGCATTTTGCTCCCACAAGTAAGGTATCTTCTAGTAACAAACACCTAACCAAGACTGGACGGTTCCGGTGCATTGTTGGCATCTTTGTACTTTGAAGCACAATATTGAGGTAAATGTAAATTGCAGAGTGGGGTTGTGTCGAGGCCGACGTACCTACTTACGTGCCCATCCGCCGTGTCTAGTCAGGCGTTATCCTCACTTGAATCATACAATCTACCGAATCAAAATCAAACTCAAGCACTTACTAGGCACCTCAAGTGATCATCTTACGGGGCGGACTTACTTTACTTTGGCTTAAGATACCAGGTTGGGTCTGAGATCGAAGGAAGGTGAAAACACATCCCCCTTATCTTCCATCAAGTTCGCCTTTGAGTATGTTTTTCCGAGCAACTGCCTTCCTTTCCTGAATTTAACCTCCCCGCCCCCCCCCCCCCCCCCCGCGCCTTCCCCCTCTTGCTTCTGACGTTCGGACCTTCCTCGACTCAGCCAGGTTGCTGAGACTCTTTCCTTGGGTGTTTTTCTTTCCGATTTGGCAACCTCGCCTTACCTTGAAGTCCAACTTTAGTATAGACTGTGTGGAAATTCTTTCTTCTATCGCTGCTCGAGCTCTCTAGCCTAAGACAAGGTAGATTAAGGTCCACCTTTCCCCCCCAGTCTGAATCTTCTGAATAGCTTCGCCTACTCCACTCCCTTTCTACAAATCCTCAAGGTTATTGCCACAACTATCGCGATCCACAATGTCGGCTACGCTCGTGTTCAAAGGGCGAGAGCTCGCCATGACACGGGACGAGCTTGTCGCTTCTTCGGCTGCAACGTAAGTTTTGGACGCCTCCATTATTTCGTCACTAACGCCAAGGCCTATACAGCAAAGTGAACGGCGCCGAAAATGAGGACGAAGACGACCTGATCCCGAAAATCGAGTCTGATTTGATCGAGTCTGCCGGGGCCCCCGAGAAGTCGTCCAGCAGAAAGCGCCAGCCAAGTCAACCCGCCACCAGCAAAGCTAGCAAGAGACGCAAGCTGTTTGAAGGCCAAGAGCCTCTGGCTGGGTCTGCTCAGAGTGTCTTAGCCTCGATCGAGAACAGAGCCGCGCCTGCCGCGAAGAAAGGACTTTCTCTGGAAGCTTCCGACTCTGATGAGGAAAAAGGTCCCGACGATCACGGTCCTAGTGATACTGAGAGAGACGATGCTTCTCCTCCGCCGGTACAAACTCCTAAGAAGCGCGGTCGTCCCAGAAAGACTCCCAACGCTGTCTCGGCCAAGTTCAAGAAGTCGGTTGGTAAACCGATTGCCGCTGGACCAGTCGCCAAAGGTAAGTCTAGGGGTGGATGCACTTGCGTTCTGGTCGTTTTAACCTGTTTTGACCAGTCCTAATCTCTCTGGTGCGCTAGCTACGGCTCTTCGTCGATCTACTCGTGCTCCTACCATAGAGAAGGCAGTTCCAGAGAAAAAGGCAGTAGTACCGTCATGCCTTCCCAACTTCAAGACTACATTGAGACTGACACCATGACAGGCTGTGACGACTCATGGCCGAGGCGTCGCTCGTCCCAAGAAGGTTGCCAAGAAGAGCCCTGCCAAACGCACCTCGAGTTCTCCTACTTACTCAGAGGAGTTTTACGTCGTTGAGAAGATCGTTGGCGCACGCGTTGACCCCAAGACCAAGGTGCCGATGTACATGGTGAAGTGGAAGGGATATGGCTCGAACGAGAATACGTGGGAGCCAAAGGGAAACCTAAGCAAGTGCGCTGCTCTCATCAAGAGCTTTATTGCTTCTCAGAATGGGAAGAAGGGAAAGAAGTGAACCGCTCTCTGCCGCGGGGTCTTGCTGGCGTTACTAACACTTTTCGGGATTTCGGGACCATTTGGGTTTCATGGTTTCTAGGTGTTCAGTGCACACGTCATCGGTTTAGGGGAAGCTTTCGAAAAGGTGTGGAGAGGGATTTCAAGCGAAAAGCCGACGACTATATCCCAAGTTGGTTCATATGGCGAATGGGGAACTGGTCACAGTCGATGGGACTTTGACGAACGGACAGTTGCGCAGGGATAACGTGGGGTGGTGAAGCTAGGATTTCACAGGCTTGAGATTGGTCAGCTCCTGCAGCTAAGCTCTCCACTTGATATTCCCCGACTGGTTTAATTCACTGCCCCCTTACCTCCATCTCAGGGTTCACAGTGACCTCAACCCTTCCTTCAACGTGTCCGCCGGGTGGCCCTCAACATCTGCTGACTTTTTTTTTCTTCACTTCACTGCTCTGCTCCCCCCCCAGTGGATCTGTCGCAACTTCTCCCCCATAGCCTGACGATACGACATCCGAAGGCGGCCGACGCATAGATTGAGCCAATACCAGGTACAAGCTTGTCCTGTGTTCCCATCGCCAGACACCCCAGCCGCAATCATGGACGCCGTCCGCTCCGCCCTCCAACCTGTCACCCACAACCTCCCGGCCCCGATCCGCGACCTCGGCGTCTCCATCATCGGCGAGCACTGCTACAAGTCCCTCTTGCTAGACATCAACGTCGAGGATGTAGACTGCATCAAGCTCGGCCTGTCCAAGGGCATCGGCCTCGGCATCGTCGGCGTCTCAAGCATCGTCAAGCTGCCGCAAATCCGCAAGCTCACCTCGTCGCAGTCGGGCGAGGGCATCTCCGTGCTGTCGTACCTCCTCGAGACGGCCTCCTACCTCGTCTCACTGGCCTACAACTACCGCAACCAGTTCCCCTTTAGCACCTACGGCGAGACGGCGCTCATCATGGGCCAGAATGTCATCATCACCGTCTTGGTGCTCAACTATACTGGCCGCGCGAGCCTGGCTGCCGTGTTTGTGACGGCGTTGGCTGTGGCGCTGGGGACGCTGTTTGCCGGGAGCTTGGTCGATATGCAGACGTTGGGATACCTGCAGGCCGGCGCCGGCGTGTTGAGCGTCGCCAGCAAGGTTCCCCAGATTCTGGCGATTTGGTCCGAGGGCGGCACCGGACAGCTCAGCGCATTTGCTGTAAGTCGATTTCTCCTCGCCCCGTGTGGGAACCCTCGAGAGATTCAGGTGCTAACATGTGTAATCAAAAGGTCTTCAACTACCTCGCCGGCTCCCTCTCCCGCATCTTCACCACCCTCCAGGAGGTCGACGACAAGCTCATCCTGTACAACTTCATCGCCGGCTTCCTCCTCAACGCCGTCCTCGCGTCCCAGATGGCGTACTACTGGAACGCGCCCTCCAAGAAGGCCAAGGGCAAGCAGAAAGTTCCCATCCCTGCTGCCCCTTCTACAGGTTCCTCATCGGCTACTTCGACGCCCGCCAAGAAGGGTCCCAGCACCCGCCGTCGCGGTTGAGTGCGTAGTTCTCTCGAGAGGGGTACGCATTCCCCTTTGAAGGCGGCTAGAGCGTTAGATACCATGTTATTGCTTCTATAATACAGTGAGCACATTTTAGAACTTGTTCCACTTGCGTACTCTTCGTGATCAGTTTCTTCATTGACATTCTTAATCTTGGATTCCGGAGGGCCCTTTACCGACTGCATGTACTCGACTTGTGAGATTGCCACAGCACTGCTAAATCGGCTGGAGTTAGTAAGGTACAGTCCATTTGTTCGATTTGGTGCAGCCATTACCAACCCCAGTAGGCCGGCGATCCTCAGTATTTCCGTGATGAGAGAGAGCTGCGTCAAAGTTTGTGTTCCAGACCCAAGAAACCGGAGCTTCGGCTCTTCTATCGAGCAAGTGCTTCCTGCCCCTGCAGGTTGTGTATGGTATGCCAGAGCGCAGCATTACATATTCTTGCCCACAGGCCCGCTGAAGACTTATCGATACGACGGTCCAGTGGCTATCTCTCATCGCTCAATGCGCCGCAGCTTTTGACCTGACTTGTTAACGAAACCGAACACCCTTGGTTTAAACACCTCCATGCGGCTGTTCACGGGCATATGTGTCATGAAGAGTGTCAAACGAGATATGGGATCGACGGAGTGTGTATTATGAGGCCTCGGGTGTGGTACGAGGCCGTATGGCGTTGACGTCTCCTCCTCCTCCCCTCCCCCCCCGTAATCAGGGTTCTTTTCCCCCTCGGTCGCCGCCGCCCATCATCACCATCACCACCACCACCCCCCTTCGACCTCTCCTTTCTCGCGCGCCTCCCCCAAAAACAAAACCGCAAAAGTTGGCATAACTGGGTATGCCCGTAGGCAGGGACCCACCTCCTCCTCGTGGTATCGTAGCCTACTATCCAAGTTAGAAACCTGTTCACGAGGAGATTGAGTGCTAAGAAAAGGGGTAACTCACATACTCGTACAAACACCAAAGAAACCGTAAACACACTTCGGCGCTCAACCGCGCAGAGAGAGGAACGCGACCAATCCCCCCACGAAAGCCGCAACCCACAGCGCCATGCCGACAAGCAGCATGATGCGCAGGTTGCGTCTTTGGTGGAAGGAGAGGCCGGTGCACTCTCCGCCGGTGAGGCCCGCCAACACCCGATCCCACGACCAGACGAGGGTGACGGCCCCCACGAACGGCAGCAACAGGGTCGCCCCCATCACCGCGTAGTAGAAGACCGCCTGGCGGCGGACCGCGCCCCGCGAGAGAGGGGTCTGGTCCCGGACGGTGGCCGCCATGTCCGCGAGCTCGGTATCCGTTCCCCGACCGCCGAGTTGACGGACGGCCTGGAGGGCACGGTACCTCTCCATCACCTCGGAGGAGTAGAGGTGGGGAGAGGCCCGGCGGCCCGCAGACTGGTCGATGGCGAGGGCCTCCGCCGCAGCTTGGTGGCTAATGTTTGCCATCTTGCTGGGGGTGGAGACCCTCTCTCTCGCCCTCGCCTGGTCGGTGGTCGCTTGGGGGCGCGACACCGACGAGTACTGGGTTGGGATGTACTCGCGGGTCGGCCGCCCAAATGGGTGTTGTTGGTGATCTGGAAGCAATCGAGGTTAGCCAGCGAGTTCTGAGAGCCCAACGTGAAAGCAAAGACTTGCTTCGAGCAGGGGGTTTGCTGATCCCGAAGTGACTTCGAGCTTTTTTTTCGAACAAAATTCGAACAGCGATTCATACAGGGCCTTGAAAGGAGGCGGGAGAGGTTTGGAGCGAGGTTTTTTTTTTTTTCGTTTTTTTTGGTTACTCATACGTTGGGTGACCAACCTTGGGTTTGGAGAGTATTGGGAAGAAGAGGAAGAAAGCAGTAGAGCAAGGGGAGAGGGAATGGCTTTATATATATATCGGAAGGGCAGCAGGGCATAGAAATGCGGAGGCAGGAGACTCACCAATGAAGATAGTACGGCGATCGATGCCCGGGTTATCGGTGCGGGAGAAGAATGATCTTGCAGAGTTGTTTCTCAAGGCGGGACGAGGATAGATGTGGCTGCCGGCGTTCGAGGAAGTAGGCAGACCGGGGGAGATGATGTGTCCTGAAAGGGTATGGTCCTCGAGGCCGCTCGCGCGACGGAAAGCTTGAAGCTTGGCTGCGTCCTCGCGAGGGACAAGGGGGAACGGTAGGTTGGCATACTCGTTGTGGCTGAGCTGTGCTGCCTCTTCATTATACTGTGCTCGATCATTCCGCACACGATCCCAAGAGAAGTCTGGATAGGGAGCTGGCATGGGGTCAAGCTCGATCTCTTCCCAGCCATCTTGTCTTCGCTGTCTGTTCTGCAGTGCGCGCGCAGGAGGTGATGGGTAGGAAGGCGAGGCAGAGCGAGAGCGAATCGACGGCAGAGGGGTGGACTTCTCCCACCATGCTCTTGCTCGGGTGGTGGAGGACTCACGGCCTTTGTGGGAAGTAGTGTGGTGAGCGACAGGATGCTGTTGTTGATGTTGAATCAGAAGTGCATCTGAGACGTTGGCAATGCTGCTACCAGTCATGACTCTGCCCACAAAGCTTGTAGGGAACTCGCGGTCATCGGTGACAGTTCGCCAGTCTTCTTCTCCCTCCAAGCCAGTGCGCTCCTCTGCATCTTCTGAGGCAACTGTGGCCATGCGCGTGTGATCGATGGCATTGTATGGCTCTGTTGCTTGCATGCCAATCTCATCTCCAGTGAATGGGGCTGGAACAGGAACAGGGACTTTGATACCGGATTGGGTGATCTGCCAGTCGGGCTGAATAGCTGGGGCATGGTAAAAGTCGTTCTTTTGCTGATCAGAGCTGCTGTGATAGGGTGACTGACGTGAAATCTGAAGGTGTGAATGACGAACACGGCCGATAAGACCACTGGACGGCTGGCTCAGCCCAGTAACGTGGTGAAGCGCACGAGAAACTTCCTTCTCAGCATGGGGGCGTAGAAAGACCTTCTCTTTGCCAGGCTCAGACTGCTCGACATTGTGATCCGAAGCATGGGACGATGCGTTGGAGAAAGCATGGAATGGGTTCAACAACTTGACTGGAACCTTCCCTTTGTCCTGGTTGGTGACCACATCTTCGGAGCATCCAGAGGCGTCTCCATCATAGTCGGACTCAGACCGAGATGTTTCCTCGATTGTAGGTACAGGCTGAGGGGCAGGGATTGAGGGAGGGGGAAGAACACCACGATCGATGAAGATAGGTAAGTGGTTGCTCTGGTTGCCAGGCTGTAAGGCTTCGTGATCAAGAAAGATGGGATACTGGGTTCCGTTCAAGCCAGAGAGGTGAGTTGTGTTGAAATAACCGGAAGGAGTTTCTTTCTTGACGACGTCATCAATGTGGGAAGATTGGTCTGCTTCCTCGGTGTGCCATGAGGGACTTGCTGCAACTGGGGGCGAAAGAATGGGGGAAGAGGCCAAAACAGGCGAGGACCTTGGCTCGATCTTGATCTTGTTCATTGAACCGTCGTCAATGGAGGCTAGAC